TTAAGAGATGAACTTCCATCTATCTATTTTTACAAGTATTACAAAAAGCTGGTCTTTTGTGTTTGATATGGCAATATTATTTGTTAATTATTTTAACATTATTATTGTCCTAATTCATAGTCCTAGAAGCTGCTACCACTCTTGTATACAAAGAGCTATAAAGTACAACAGCTAGTACCTTAACTAACCTAATCTAGTTATCTTGATGTAGTTACAGATCAGAAAGAAGTCTGATAAATATTTAGCTTCTGCATTAGAAGTACCATTATGTTTAGCATCCAGTTTCATCTACTGCTGTCACTTTTTAAATTTTTTTTAAACAGGCTGATTTTCTTCAGATATTCTACTGTAAACGGTCTCAATAAAAGCATTCCTTTCAATTTATTAAGGTCCTGTTTTCAATCCCTTTATCCTCTGGTACAGAAAGGATGAGAGCAAGCTCTTCACAGTCCTATTCCAGTCTACTGTCCCACTATTTTCAAGTCTCCTGTGGGTGACGAAATTCATTAGTCACTGAGGCATAATGTAACTGCAGGTGGATGTGGGTGGATGCCATGACAAGCAATTTAATAGGTACTTCTTGTACGTACCAGAAACATTACCATTGCAAACCGTCAGGAGCAATGGAGTTAGGCATCAGCAGAAGAGGCTGAGGAGAGACCCTAGATAGGAAAACGGAGTTGGGTAGGGGATTGCAGTTCTGAATATAAGTGAATTTTAACATCAAATTCCTTCCTCAGAATTAGCAGTTGGGTTCCATTTTCAGCCCTCCTTCCTTCTAGGCATGCGACAAACTACTTGTCCCTCAGTTTCCCTATTATAGAGAGAATACTCAGACATCCTGGTACAAGTCTTTCACAGCAAAAGGTAAAAATACTTGTTTGTCTGTCCATCCCCACACAAACATTTCCTTTAAGGAAGCCTATAGGAAAAACCATGTATGTTCAGAGCAGGTTAATTTACTGAAACCCCACATGTAGAATTTCTATTTCTGGAGAGCTCACCTGGTGCTTGCTTTCATATTGCTTCAGTCTTTCCTAGTTCAGGGCAGACATTGTTCGCGGACAGGAAGAAGTCTGAAGAAATGCAGTAAGACACCGAAACCCCAGCACGCTCCCTTGGTCAGACACCCCCAGGCAGCTGTGTGTCAGTCCCAGGGCACTTGACCTGCTTTGGTTTAGATGATGTACAGTGCTCTACCTCCCCTAAGCTCAGTGCCACATTTACAGACAGCCTTTTTTAATACACTCCTTCCATTTCTCATTATTCTGCTGGGATTATCCCTAACAAACCTCTTGGAGCAGCAGAAGCAAGAGAACAGGTAAGTTTTATGCATCCAGAGAAGAAAGGTGATACACTTCAAGGAAAGAATTATTAATCCAGCATGGTTTATGTTAAAAAGTGGCTGAAGGTATGTGGTAAGAGTTCTAATACGTAGAAATTATTAGATATGTTGGTTAACTGTTCTAGCTATGAAAACTCAAGCTTAGAGTAGCACTTTATATCCACACACCTTACAGAAGCGATTATGTGTGCAAGGGAAGTTTCTTTTAAGCAATAACATGCTGACTTACTGGGAAGGGCTATGCTGGCATGTTGTGAAATCTCCAAAATTCCAAGAAAATGTGTATTTATGACTCAGATGTCCTTTAAAGCTGATACTGCCATTCTACAGGGTGGGTGGATTGGTCTCCAGCCTGCCTGTATGTTTCCAATTCTATGAGGTTTTTTTTTTTTGTTAGGGATTCTTTAGACAGAAAAAAAGGTTTGGTTTTTTTCTGCCAAAGTGGTTACCTCTCCCATTCCATACTTGTTTGCTATTATATCAGTGATTAGTGCTGAAGAGTGAAGAGTTATAGAAAAATACGGAAAGTACATAGAGTGGAAAAAAAACCTGACTGAGGACCCATACAGCTCACCTTGCCCTGGTGCATGCTCACACATCTCAGTGTGAAGCAGTAGGAAAGGCAACAGCAGCAGCAGGACGCACAGTGTCAGAAGTGTCTGGTGTACATCAAACTCACCCACCCCACAACAGATGCATCTCTTTCTTTACAAGGACATTATTCTGCTGCACTAAACAAGACTAATTTTGGTAGCAGTAAAATTAACATATTTCATCAGAATTTACAGAATAAAGTGTATGTTATGGTAATACTTTCTCAAATACTTTGTCATAGAAAATAGAAATTGCTCAGCAGTGTAAAAATTTCAGTATGCATGCAAAGTTAGGCCTCATTATAGCATTAAGGAATACTGTTTCTAACTGCAGGTGACAGTACTCTTCCAAAATACACCATACACTGCAACAATAACAAAGTCTGCTGCTGCAGTCTAGTAACTGCAGACAAGAAAAACAGGTAGCATTCCCCTTTGTATAGCTACATTCTTATTGTTAAGGAGTGAATTTAGTATTTCAGCAGTAATGGAATAAGCAATTAAAATATAAACTTACATCCAACAGCTAGGGCATTTGACATCTTTTACAAAGTCACTGGGATAATGTTAGTGTTTGGCTAGATCTCACCCTCAAAGAAAAGCATGAGGCAGGAAACAGTATTAAGGCTTATTCAGCTACGACAAACAGAATTCAGGAGGTCACTGCTCAAGTTTTACTCTAACTTGTTTTATTACGGCTGTGTCTTCAGTGTGAAGATTTTATGTTGCTCCCAACTCACTCAACCTAACTATGTCACTATTCATGTCTAATTTAAAACACAAACACCAAAGACAACCTGATTTCTATTCTGGGTCAACGCCATGCCGACACAAAGCCAGAAATACACAGTCGCACTGTGCTCTACTACTTATTTGCAGTCAGGAAGGTTCCATCAGCCAGGAGCTGGACTGACCTGAATAATGAAAGCTCACAACGTATGCGTAGCCTTTGCTGGTTTGCAGTCACTGGCACTATTATACCCTTCAGTTGCGATGCCCGCTCTATGGAAGACGCATGGATGCCTCCTCATTCCTCAGCTGTTTAAGCTCAGTGTGTTTAAGCTGCTGAAAAGCTATAAGGATTTTGCCTCATAATGCATCACCCTGTTAAAAAGCAAAGTGATGATTTCAAAGAAAAAAAAATAAAATAGTCTGGTGGATATGCATAAATATTTATTATCAGTTTAACTTCATTTTACTAGAAGTCTTTAAACAGTTTCCTTTTTGCCAAAATTTTGCATCTCTGACATAGCTTCCCTGCACTGGGAATGCACGGCTTACACTTAGATTCCAAAACAATCTATGCAAGATAAAGAACCTTCAACTTCAGTGCATACGGAGCTATTTAAAGACTGGTAAAAAGACCCCCTTCCCCCTCCCAAATTAAGTCTGTTACAAAGATATTTCATTACCAAAAAGTGAATATACAAATGCTAAAAAAATGCTGGCTTGAAAAAGTGATTTCAGAATTTACTGTACACATTGTAACAATTTATTATATAAGCTGCTTCTACATGCAAGCAGATCTTACTTTTGGTGTAAAACATTTATACACATTCTTTACAATTTGTACATATTTAAATGGCTGTATCAAACAACACTGCATTATGGAATTTTGGAAGCGAACAACTAAAATTGGGAGGAGAAAAAGACAAGGTTTACAAAACGTGAACGAAACCCGTGACACTGAAAAGCATCTAGACTTAGGCTTAGTCTTGTTTGGTTTGGTTTCAGGTTATTCAGGCAGACCCAGATTTTCCTTCTAGCACACAAAAGTTAACACCAACGCAAAACAGAATAAGGCAACTATTCAACCAGCAGACTGTACCCGTCACTCAGAATGGCTTATTGGTAAAATGTCTTTTAAAAAAGTTTTATTTTTCGCTGAAGTGTTTATTTTCTAGGCACATTTTAGCAAAAATTGCATTTTGGCTTTCCTGCTTGCTATACGGCATGATATGAATGACTGTTTGGTGCCCATTGTGAACAGGGTTGGTGGTGGCTTTTTTGTTCTGAAAAGCCAAGGGCTCAAATGATATTTCAGCAGTTTGAAAGAAGACACTGCGCCACTTGATAAGAGATGACGATCAAAGCACGGTTTGTGTGATAACTACTGATTTTATTCAGTACTTCTGTCACCTTTTAATTTGCATTAGAAGGCAACAAAAAGTAAACCCAAGCTAATGGGATATACCATACTACTACATGAAGACCTGAGCTTAGTTGGAATTTGGGGACTTCTACTAGTTTGGGTTAGATGTGGCAGTGACCCCTCTGCTGAAACACTCAAACTCCGAGGGGTAAAAGGGAAGCTGGCCCTGTGCAGCACTGAGGAACACCAGTGCCTTATGGCATAACATTGGGGGCTGTCAAAGTGCTGCTATGGAAAAAACCTTTTCACACCTTCCTAAATGGCTCTTTCCTTGTTTGTACTTTGTCTTCTTACACAGTGCATAGCGAGAAAGAGCGAGCCTGACATAAGCTCTGAGGTGTTGTGCCACAAGTACAAGATTTAGTTAGAAAGGAGAAAAAAAAAAAGAGAGAGGAAAGAATGAATCATATTGACCAGAAGTCATAATGGGAACAGCATGCCATGGCTGCTTATGGGAAGCAAAACTTTAAAGTGTTCATTCAGGAGATTATCATGAACATGTACCAGAAACATACACCGATAGAATTCCTCCTGGCTACTGAATCGCTAGAGAGCTGAACTGAATATAATGAGAATTAAGGTCATTTTCTTAAGCTTGTCTGCTTTCCCATTTGAAAAAAACAAACCAAAACAAAACAGGATACAAATTTGTAACTCTGATGTTGATTAAGAGTTTTTGAAAGAACATCTGATAGACAAAAGTCTGCATTAAGTCCATGGCAACATATCAGTTTGATAATTTAGATCCCCATAACAGACAGCATTATCTAGCTGTTTTTATTTAAATAATGATACAAATGGGAGACCATTCAAGATAAGAGAACCTTATCTTCTGATAAAGTAAAATTTTAAATACTTTTTTTTTTTCTACAACTGATTCTTGTTGTTGGGGTTTTTTTTGGTGTTTCTATTTGGCTGACAAAGGCTAAAGTTTTTATTAGCATCACCCCCAAATCAGAAAAGCACTTCGGAGTTGTTCTTTATTGTTGACTACTCCTTATTCTCTACATCACAGGAAAGCGGCTGAGTGCCTGCCTCAGCTTCTGTGCAATCTGAAACAAAGAAAGAGAACATATTTAATATGCAGCTACTTTACATATTTAATATACAGAAATTATTATGGGCTAAGAAATTAAATTAATTGTTCTCTCTGAAAAACTGCAGTTGTTACTGCAGATTCTGTGTATGTAGGACTCTCAAAGCATTCAATCATAAAGACTTTTCTGCCTTGTTTGTGTTGCACTTTCACCATGCTTGTTGGTTTGGAGAAAGAACCTGTTAGGCAAGATGACAACCCTGCCTACAGTTATCTAGCACTGCACTGTACAGGAGGGCTACAGGAACAAAGCCAGATTTTTCATTAAATTCATTTCCCTGCTGAAACAAGGCGACACATCAGAACAGAGCTCCTGTTCTTTCCCCACAGCTCTCATGGTAGCCAGCACCCCACATGTGAACATGGATCTGGTCCCTGTACTGAGGAAGAGAGGCTTGGTACAAGGAGACTGGTGAACCAGAAGAATTGGGATAGACTGGACAAGAAACTGAAAGAAAGTGAGGAGAAACCTATGCCTATCCCCATCAGGTGTGTTAGAGAAACTGAACAAGTGACCTGATGGGGACCTGAAGTTCTCATCTACTGAAGATACTTCTGAAGCCCCACTGGCACCTTTTACTGCTGTGAAGGGCAACCAGTTGCTTATAGTGCTCCTTTGAGTGACAGAAGTCAGGTTCCAGCTGACTCAGACTCATGTTTTACCAGCATATCACATTAGAAAGTTTGTTCTCAGGTTTCATTTTAAAAAAACTACAAGGAATACAAGCATAAGAACAACATTAAATAAGAACGAAGGTTGTAGGTCAAGTGCTCAGAGTTAACATACTTAGTAAGTCACTTAAACCACTCCAGTCTCCCCTGATCCACACTTGTGTACATCAGGCTTTAAATCACAGAAGCTTCCCTTCATCCTCCCATCCTACGGGAAGGAAGTTTTGTTCAAATGGTTTATTGTTGTATTCAGTGCAGCAGGTCTTTCTTACTGCATATCACAGCAACTAAAATTCTTTGTAACCTTAGTACTGGCATTATAGAAAAAGAATAAAGCTGTCAACAATAAAGTTTATCAACACTGCAACACTGGTTTTGAGGTCTAATATGATGTAGTTGTGTACATGGGAAACAGTGTCTATAGGAAAATATTATTTTAGCTCATTCTTGTTGTGTTTTTTGTTTGTTTGTTGCTGGTGGGTTTTTGGTGGTTTTGTTTGTTTGTTTTAAACACACGTCCAGTTCTTCAAATATCTGCTCTCTGGGAGAGGTTCATACAAAAAGATGATTAAATACTGCAAGTATTTCTTACAAAAGTAGCAGCACAGTACGTGCCAAGAAAATGGCACTGAAATACTACACCTTACCGTTTCATAAAACTGTGCCTGCTGCTCCAGATACAGACGAATGACACTGTTGTAGTCATAAATCCGGTTACTGTGGAAGTGATTCATCTCAGCTGCAATTAGACCCAGGAGGCAAATTATTCAAGAGACGTATTTGTAATTAGGAAGTTTCACTCAGTTCAGGTGAGTTACTGCACAACAAGCTCAGTGTTCACCCTTTCCAGTAGAGTTATTGTTCCTGTGCTTCTACAACCTGTTTTGCCTGCAGCACTCAACTTATAATGGAACTGTTTGTAAAACTGGTAGGGCATCAATTACTCGCTGCTAAAATGCAGACACTTCCTGGATAAAGCCAGGTGCTTGTTACAATACTCACGTGTACAAAGATTTGATAAAAAATACAAGCAGGATTTTCTACTGAGGTAACTGCTCCTTCCTGAAGTGTTTCCAACAGAATCTGACTAAGACATTTGCATTTCCAACGGTATAGCTATCAAGTTGTAAGTCACAGCCAGTAGTGTTTGAGCCACTCTTGACTGGGGCTGTTTCAGTAGGAACCTGAGAAACAGCATTACTGAATCTGTAACACCTTTCACTACTTTCTGCATCTCTTGTCAGATCACAGCTTATGGCTGAAATAAAAAGTTAAATATATTTGAGATACCAGTAAAGAGAAAAGAAATATTCTCAATTGGAAGCGTCACCCAGAGGTCTTTTCCAAGGTTACCACCTATACAGCACAGTCCTCCCAAACTACTGTAACCAGAAGGGGGCTGTGTGTGTGTGTGTGTGTGTGTGTGTGTGTGTGTGTGTGTGTTTCCTTGTTTGTTTTTGAAATCCACTTTGTGTGACGATCTGACTTTGTCCTGTAAAATACTGAGTACTCTTGGCTTTAAGACAGCTGAAAAAGATGCAGCTCTCTCAGCAATGAGTAGTCCCAGTGAAGTCAAAAATAGGATGCACTTAAGGGCTTGGTATCCTGCAGGCCTGATCCCTGACTCGCACTTCCTTGTGTGCGCTGCATCTCATATATATCTCTAACCAAAAGAGGAAAGGTTCATTCAAAGAACATCCAGGAAATAAAATCCCATCCTCAAGAACATTAATCTCAACTGGATTATGTCTGACTGAACCATGAGTCAGAGAAGCACTGCTGCATGTGCCACACTGCTTCCTGCACCAGGGCCCATCCTTTTTCTTTGAAATACAGTAATTTCAAAATGAAAAAAAATCAGTCTGAGGTGGTTGTTGTTGTTTTGTTGTAGTTTTGGTTGCTTTCTAGTGTTGTTTCTTTTTAAATTGCATTTTCAAAATATGTATCTTTTGCAGTAGAAGTATGATATTTGAAAGAAAACATTGGCCAAAACCATAGCTCTGCTCATAATTCCTGGTAGAACAAAGATTCTCTTTCAAAGTTTGTTACTTAAGAGATGTCCTTCAGAGGTCTACAACATTGCCATTTAGCCCAGAACTTGGTTTACCTTGTAGTGCATAAGCCATGGTGCTCACGCGTTTCACCATGTTCTGTTTGTCTTGCGGCGTTATTTTACTGGTTGCAACTAATTTATCACTTTCCTTCACTCTTTCTATTGCTCCCTGTAGAAACCAAATACAGAAAAGCATTGATTAAAACAGTAGTCAATTTAAAAGTCTTTATAGCCAACTAAAATGCCATTGGCCACATTTTGAGCTTGCACACTATACACATATACATAGGTGCTCAATGACTCATTCTGCCTCCCTACATTTTCACCCAAAGTTTGTTATTTCACTCTATTGCTTTCAGGAGTCCCGACAGCTTGCAAAACATGAGTTAAAACCCAGGTATGAACACAGTCACGAGGAAACGGAGTTTGGTAAAGGCAGTAATACACAAGGATTATTGGACAGGCATACTCTTTGCTGGGTAAAAAAAAACTGTCTGGATAGCTGGGCCCAAAGAGTTGTGGTGAATGGAGTTAAATCCAGTTGAAGGCCAGTCACAAGTGGTGTTCCTAGGCTCAGCGTTAGGGCCAACTCTGTTTAACATCTTTATCAACGACCTGGATGAGGGGATTGATTAAGTTTGCAGAGGACACTAAGCTGGGTGGAAGTGCTGATCTGCCTGAGGCCAGGAAGGCTCTATGGAGGGACCTGCAGAAGTAGGGAAGTAATCTTGGCCCTGTACTCAGCACTGGTGAGGCCACACCTCAAATACTGTGTTCAGTTTTGTCCCCCTCACTACAAGAAGGGCATTTAAGCACTGGAGTGTGTCCAAAGAAGGACAACTAAGCTAGTGAGAGGTCTGGAGCACAAGCCATACAAGGAGCAGCTAAGGGAACTGGCGTTGTTTACCCTGGAGAAAAGGAAGCTGAGGGGAGACCTTACCACCCTCTACAACTACCTGAAAGGAGGTTGCAGCGAGGTGGGCGTTGGTCTCTTCTCCCTGGTAGCTAGTGATAGGACAAGGGAAAATGGCCTCAAGTTGTGTCAGGGGGAGTTTAGGTTGGATATTAGGAGCAATATCTTCACTGAAAGGGTTATCAGACATTGGAACAGGCTGCTCAGGGAAGTGGTGGAGTCATCATCGCTGGAGGTATTTAAAAGACAAGTAGATGAGGTGCTTAGAGACAAGGTTTAGTAGTGGACAGGTTATGGTTGGACTCAGTCTTAAAGGTCTTTTCCAACCAAATGATTCTGTGATTCTATTCTATGATAGACACAGAAAGGACAAAAGGATCAAGTTTCAAAAAATAGCTGAGTGACACAACAGACATCCAAAAGCCTCAAACTATCAAATGCCTGTAGAGCCTTATCTGCACATTATACAAGATGAGACAACATCTCATTGCAGTGTATAACTTTCAATCCAGGAAAGTCCTTGTGTCACATAAACAACAAACATAAGAAGAAATGCTCTCTTCACAATGTATTTGTGCCATCCCATGGAATCTTTGGGAAAAATACCATAAAAGGAGAATAAATGTTTTAAAAAAGAATAAATGTTTTTAAAATTCTAAACCAGCCTATTGCCAAGAGACATGTAAATGGATTCTCTTGAACGTTGTTTGGCAAAAATATATTGTGAAGAGAGCATTTCTTCCTACTGCCCAACCCTTAGAAGGAAAGGCCCTTTGCATACCTTATGAGCTCCTATGATGTCAGGGAAGCAACCGAGAAATCCCTTATATTCATGATTTGTTTCCATCAAAAAGTGAAGATCCTTCTTCGGCTAATAAATGAAGTGTAAGCATTAGTAAAAAAGTGTCTGTGGCATATTAACATCACAAAAGAGAAACTATAATGCCAAAAACAGGATGAGAGAAAAAAGGGAAAGAAAGAATAGGAAAAAACAAACCAAATCTTAATTGTTTGTTACAAGTTTTTTATATTTAAAAGATCCTTATTAAAATTTAAGCTCCTTTGAGCAAGACTCTGAGCACCAGTGAGCAGATGCCTCTATTCTTTGTTTTACTCAACATTAGTTTATGAAGGGAGGGGGTTTACCTCAAAGTTTCACTCAAGAGGAGTAAACAGTCCTAGCAATAGCACTATTAAGCAACAAATATCATTAAATATACATAAGTACACAACAGGTGCACCTCCTCAGTTGCTGACTTGGAAGGCTGTTTTAAGAACTTCCAGACTCAACCTTGAGATCAAGAAGATCTGCATTTTGGAGACTTTAAGCTTAATACAGTAAACATCAATTTGTGACTGTAATACACCAATAAAGATTTATTTAAGCTAGCTTGTTACTGAAGCAGACAACTGCATATCAAGACAATGAAATGCAGCAAGATCTAGATCCTGTAGACATTTAAGGAATGGAGGGGGAATGTGCGAACCCTGTCCTTGATTAAATATCATTCTGTTGTATCCGTAATGAAGACAGCTCGCTGACATCAGAAAACAAACAAGTTCAAAAGTATTTTAGAAACCAGAATGGGAGCTTTCTGATCCAAGAGAAATACCCTCCCATCACAACCCCCTAAGTTGACACGTAGTAGAAAAGAAGACAAAATTGCATTTAAGAGTATTAACAGTAACTTCATGTAACTGGTCTGCAGCACTAGCAGTTATGTTTTTAACAGAAAAGAAAGAAAGAAGAGTCAGAAGTGACCCAAATAGGCAATGTGTTTGTACACACTACACCAATGCATTCATAATACTCCTACCTGATCTGCTACAAGGCTGGCGATTTCTTCATAGGTTTTTCCTGCCTCTGTTATTGCTCCATTGAGATCAGATTCTCCTAAAAGTAAACATCAGTGTTCAAATTACTGTAAGAAATTTGCCTTGATTCAAGGCAAGTTTCTAAAATACCTTATTTTACAATAATAAATGCCTAGCCATCATTTTATAACCAGCAGCAATAAAGAAGTTAGAAAAATATTAGTTGTTTTTATACCATTGAAGAAGAAAAACTCTGAAAATCTTGTAGAAATGCTAAAGGGACCAAGTAAACACTGCTCTACCACAGTACTAGCACTATTCACTTCCACATTTCATGATTGTATGTAGTTTAAAAACACAGGCATTCCCCCACATGGGGTAACCAGAAGCCTAACAGAAAGGGAGGCAAAGGAGAACGAGGAGGGCAACACCAGAAGATAGACTAACAAAGCTGAAGAGACACCCGGTGTTCTGATATTTTAATAAACTATTTTCATACCTGATAAGCAGCAAATTCTCCATGATGCCCTATGGAGCAGTGATGTAAGCTCTCCAACAGTCTTGGACTGTAATTATTAGATGATCAGCAAAGCAGAAGGAGGCCCAACTAAATCTTTTTCTTGCCAACAAGATTTGTGACCCTTTAGGAAACTTTTGCACCATATTTTCAAGCTCTGTAAGAATCACTGCTTTTGAGAGCAAGTTTCTAACTTTCATCATCATATGAAATAGATCAAAGGGTGCCACAAAGTACACTTAAAAATACAGACATCACAACAAATCCTAAGCTAGAGAACACCACAAGCACTCATTACACTGTATTACTGGCAGGACATAGCTACATGGGACAAAGATGGATACAAGCCTTACATTCTTCATTTTTTCATGCCACTTCACCTTCCCAAAACACCACAGGTTTTTTTTCCATCCTTGTTAGCTTGTCCAAAGCATGTAGACAACAATACGGAAAGCAGATTGAGGTAGAGAAAGGGGAAGGTATAATTTGCAGATATCGAATATTAGTTTAAGAAAATTATTTTTCTCATCCTTTCAGACAAGTCTTGACTTTAGGCAGCAGTCTTTTAAGAACATTTTGGTTTTACTCTATAGACATTAATTGGTGACTTAACTGAAAATTACCAAACATTGATTTTATTAATGATTAATTTGAACATTAAAGTATTTTCTTTTACTACAACATATGGACTATCTATATTAGGAAGTTATTAAATAGAATTCCTTCATTTTAGCATGTCCTAAAGGAAACAAGGTAATGACTGAATGTTGCTTCAGTTCCATCAATTGATTACTTTCCATTAGACTGGTTTCATAAAGCCAAAAGCTTTGAGGGAAAGCTACTGATCCCAAGAACTAATAAATCCAGCAACACAAACAGTGCTAGAGAAATAGTTATTTTTCCGCTATTTGAGCCTGCCTGGATAAAACAGAAATAAACCCAACCTGAAATATCACTGCAAGATCTAAGAGGTACATAATTCAGAAGATAGCTTCACATCACTGTAAAACAATACAAAAATTTCAGGGAAATAAATTTCATTAGTTTCATGTAGACTTAAAGAAGTAGAAAGAGAAAATCCTCCCCTTTGGTGCAGAACTTGAAAGACCTTTATAGACTGGAGCTTCAAAGACAAACCCTCCCAACACCAATCCTCTTTCATTTGGGGTGGCAGGGCACAACGTCAGTTTGTAGAAGGCACAGGATACATTAAGATTTTCTACTACTACCAGAGGCATTCACACTCCTCCAAAAGCTGGGCTAAGGGACAGTATATTTAAAAGTTATTCCAGCCAGTGGATCCTGACAATAGACAGGCACACAAGTAGTAGAAGAGTATCTGTAGCTCCTCATACTGTACCCTTTTCTTCTACAAACTCCTTTACAGGTAGTGCCAGGGAATCCCTAAAGATTGAGACTTCACCTCTCACCTGCCGCACCCTCCAAGTCCTAACACACATTCTCAGCAGTGTCATGCCATGCCCGGTTGGTCACTCCCTACACCAGGCCACCTCACCAGAGATACCACACGCAACCCACATGCTCACCCATCAGAGTAACTTGAATTCCAGCAGCACATTGCTCCCAGTCACTGTTGTCAGCACAGGTTTTAGTCAGAGTTTTGTCAGTCAGACAGGGCCAAGTTTACAGCATCCTCAGCTTCTGAACTGATGTGAAGCTGGTACTGGGCTTTTTAACTCAAGCTGTGAAAGCTGAGCCGAGTCCCAGTGCAAGGACATACCAGGACATCAAGGGATTCTTTAATCAATGGGAGAGCAAAAAGCCTCACACACTGATGACATTTACAACAAAATGAGGGCAGTGTGCATTACATGTATCTCCATGAAAAACAGAAAGAGCCTAACAGCATTGACTAAAGGTAGTTGTAAAAAGACCAGTTAAAATTGCCAGTACAGATATTTTAACCCAATCACAAGGAGAAATGGGTATTTTCATTGATTTACAGGCCTGCATGCTGTCACAGGGAGATGAAGGAAGATGTAAAACTATGAGGAGTCTTTTGGAGACGTTTAGCAGAGCATCTCTTCACAGTTCAACTGCTTGGTAAATGCCAGTGATTATCAGCTCTGAGGGAACACACCTTACATATTGAGGAAACTAATGTTCTGCAAGGCTTGATTAGGGAAGCAGAGCTGTTTTCATCAAGAAATGTTTTTGGTTTGTTTTCTTTTCTTTCAGTGAGTGTTTTAACACAGTACAGGAGTACGAAAAATATCGAGTTTGATGTACCAAGGAACTACTTGTAGCAAGATTTTACTGACAAGCCCACCTCAGATTGATAACATTCAGCACACAAGCAGCTTGGAAGGCAAGATGTGCCTGCTACTAGCTGGCAGGACAGTGAGGCATGCATGTAACTGCATAACGAAATTATTGAGGGGTGATGTAGGATTAGGAGATTTTGCTATGGCTGAATGGCATACCACAGCCATTCACATTTTCTTAATATAGGAGAAAGACTCATCCAGATTTGGTGCCGTCAAAGAGGAGCCATGCTATTTAAGGCTGCGTTAACTTATGAGCACTGTATGATGCAATAAGATGGGCAATGTAGTGCCAGGCTGCAAGACACTTCCAAGCATATTCTCAAACTGTCCAATATGCATTTTTGGACCAGAAACATACTTTCAAAGCATGTGTTCTTAAAATGGATCTGACAGTACACAAGCTCATGGCCAAGTTAAATGAGAACATCTCAATGTGTCCTTAATAGTTTTAGAGGTATCCCTGCTTCTGCACATACTGGGTACAGATTCCTAATATGCACTGTGGCTGGCAACTAATTGATAAGGCTCGTTTTGCAGCAAAAGTAAAGGAGCTTGAATGAGTCAGATTAACATATGCATCTTGCCTGGTGCAATCTTAAACATTTTAGGCTGAAAATCAGAAGAGAAGGCAGTAAATATTCACCATGCATAATAAGGCTTTGCAGAGCAAGCAGGCAGCACTGATGAAAGAGGTAAGGACAGTAGATACATCCCATCTTAATTGTGCAAATGAACAAATTAACAGTGTATTCGGTATAAGTCAGCTACCAGTAGCTAGAAATGCTCATGTCATCAAATCAGTTGTTGCAGTCTTCAGTGGCCTATATGCTTAAACTTTCAGAACTCAAGTATTTTATTAACCTTCCCCCCCCAAAAAACCCAACCCAAACCAAACAAGCCAAAAATAATTTAAAAAGTATGCAGATATTCAGCTCCCAGCAGAAACCGAACTGAGAGCCATTGAGTATGGCCGAAGAAACCATCCCTCTTTACTGATAGCCCAGAAAAATCATACCCCATACTCAGTGTAGTTAGTACTTAATTTGAAGGGATAGGTCCAGTGCTGCCTTTTAATTACTGAGATCAGGAAAGCACATCCTATCAGTTTAGATTCAGGTGCTTACGTCTCTTGCATAGAGTCTGTTAATCCACAAACCTGTACCTGAAGCAGCCATCAAATGAAATTGCACATGAACAGCATATGGACAGAGTGATGGCAGCAGTGATGAAGACATTTAAAACAACATGAGCACTGCACTTATCCTCTCTGCCTGGGAACTCAAATGAAAAAGCAAAGAATCCCATATATTATTAATTCTGAAACAATACACTTGTGTACTAGTTATTAAGAAGAGCAAAATATATGTAATCAGGACAGTGTTAAGGGCATTTTCCTCAGCAAGATACTAAGGTGCCACCAGGTACAACTAGGCAAACAGCAAAGAAAACCATCCTTGCCTTGTTCCCAAGCATCATAGGATCTATTTTTTCATATCATTCAAATATGATGGAAATTAAATTGAAGCTTTCTTTTATAAGGTTGATCTGCAATTTTGCATCCTAGCTTTAAGCCATACTGCTTTCCCTTTACCCTGGCAAAAGAATGCATGTTATAGTTCAAGCAAACTGGAGTTGTTTCACAAAGTATGTCACACAACAGTTCTGTGACAGGTATTTTCAAGGCCGCGTTTTCTCCCCTTTCTTTTGATTATATATTCTTTTGATATATAAAAAAAATGTACAGCATGTTTTGTCAGTCAGGTCACTGACCAGATTATATATTAATAAGATCAAGCTAAACTCCTCCACCACCACAAACATGATTATACAGTGAGAGAAAACATGACTGCAGACTACAGTATAAACCCCCATAATACACACAGGGAAACAAGTTTTTAGTATTTTTTTCCAGAATCATGTTTGACATGTAAAGTTCAAGGAGGAAAGCATTAAGATCTTTGGCAAAAAAAATGTAGCATGATGCTATTAAAATCTCTTTTTTTAGGTAATGTACAAACAAAGCTATAGAAATACCTTGGTATCCACTAGTGCTGAAGACCAGTGCCAGGCTCTGCAGTGCTTTTCCTATCTTCTGGTATTCCTTGGGTAGTGCTGAAAGGGGGAAAAGGATGGAGAAGGGAGGGAAACAGAAGCAAAAACCCACAAGGACAAGTGAGACTAAATCTGCAGCATTTCCAAAACTTGATAGAAGCAGATGTTAAAAACAGCTAGGTTTTACATTTCCTCTAGTGAAGCATTTACAGTCATATTCTTACCCCCTCCCCTGCTACAGATGTTCCAAAACTGGGTAAAGCAATTGCAATTTGGGCTCCACAAACAGGTGGGAAACTGTGACTGCAAACAGATCGCACTAAAATTTTAAGAGAAGGGATTATTATACAGACCTATAATACCTAAACTCTCCTCAAATCACAGATTTTATATTTAAAGGCACTAGAAACTGAGATTGTCTAGGGATAAAAACTGATGCAAGTATCTGAATAATAAAATTGTTTTTTATAATTATTTATTGAAAACATATGCATAAATTCTTTCCTCACAATGAGGTCAATAAGCTGTGATTTATGAGTGCATTCATTATTAACACTTTGAATACCTCCACACCAAAGGCCTAAAGAGGAATCTGAAAAGTGAAAGCTATTTTTTTATAAACTACCTATGTTAGCAGGAAGAAAAAACAAGTAGAAGTAGTTTTTGTTGTCAAATATTTGTATTCAGAGGGTACACTGTCCAGGTAAATAGCAGTTTTTATTTGCTCTAGCATCCCATGCAATCTGATTTTTACAGAAGAACCCCTTTGTGTGGTTAAAAAATAAAGCAAAAGAAAAAAATCCAAAACCCAAAAAACAAACCCCACAAACAGCATTATTTTATTGATTATCTTTGGTCAAGTTCTTGCCCAGAAGTTATATTATTAATATGTATGACAAGTGGTATTTTTTTTATAACAGGTACCATTCTGAGCATTAGAGTTCAGTTGTCAGCCATTAACTTGTTACTGAATCCCCAGTGGAAACTTCAGCAAAGAACATTTGGTTTCTTTTCACTTGCATGTAAGAACTTTCCACTGTCAGTCATTTTAAACATCATAGAATGGAATGCACATAACTATTGCCCAGGAAGTGCCAAAAATACTTCTGAATAGGAGTCGGGACTAGAGCTGACAGGGAACTGAAAACCTCAGAGACTATTGAAATTCTTCAGTTTTGCATGCCCCAATTCACCAGCCTCTTTTTTTCTATTCAGTATGAATGTCTGAAAAGTTAAAATTTTCAACACAATTATATCTGACTTTCTGTGTTTATGCTAACTAATTAATAGCTGTAAGTCTTAGAAGAGTCATTCTATACCTAAAGCACTAGTGTCAGAAGTTTGGGAAGATTTTAGCAGTGAACAAAATACTGAATTTCTGCTGGAAGTAGAAGTTACAACCAGCCTTTAACTATGGTGGTTTTGATCACTGCTTCTGTAACTGAAAAGCAATGCTATTTTTCCAGTCTTATCTGAGGGTCCTTATTCCTCTGTTTCCCCCCAGCATCATTTCCTAGTGAAGTGATATCTGTGCAAGAGCTCTGTCCTGTGTTAGACTATTTTTGACCAGCAGGAGGGTCAGGGATGTGTAGAAGGAAACACTCTCATTCAAAGTGGAGAAATCTAAGTAATTTAAAAGTTTATATCCTACAGACAATAACGCTGAATTTAATTGCTACCAGAAAAAACTGAGCTTCTATACTTCCCATTCCCTCTGGTCAGCTTCAGATATTCTGCTGAAATTTTAAACTAGAAAGCTGCAAAGAGATAGCTCAGGACATGTACTCATTCCCAAGTCTGGGGACAATGTTGGGTTTCTTTTGGGGGGGGGGGGGGGTTAAAAAAGGGAAAAAAATTAAAAAATATAGAGGAGATCTGGGGAGATTTATATGATAGGTCTTTGGTTGCCAGACACTACAGCCTGCCCTGAAGTGTTTCTTATTATGATCCTCAGCTGTAGTACCTGCTTCCTTTCAATAGCTGCCTTGTGGTGGCCACAAACACTGAACACTGCTGTGGACTAGGAAATTAGAGCCCAGGCAGAGTCATAGGGGCTTGGTGTGAAGTTCTGCAACCCTAAATATCTGTGGGAAGGAAGAGAAGATAGAAGAAAAATAATTGGGCTAAAGATTAAGTTAGAATCAAGTTGCTTTTTTTTTTTTTCCTTTTCTTTTAAAAAACTCATTTCATCTTTAAATCACTCCTCCTGGCATGCAAGAATCCTAAATAAGGGGTCAATAAATTCCAATCATTTGTGATTTCATCAGATAACAGGTCTACTTTGCCCATGTCACTAAAATGTAGATAAATGACAAATATATGAGAACAGGTCCAACAAGAGCTTTAGCTGGATTACTAGAATTATTTAACTTTTAATATTTTTAAACCTATGGGCAGGGACCAGATTTTTTTTCTCTCTCATAACAAAAATAACAAAATCAAAAACCTTGCATAATTTATACTCTCAGACACTGAAAGCAACCACAATGCCATACAATCCTCATGATAATTTAGGATTTCCTTTAGTGCGCCTTGAATTATAAACAACAAAACCAACAACAACAACAAACACAGAGAAAAGCAACACAGAAATGACTGCTGAGTTCAGAAGGGACACTTACGCCCTGTGCACCTCTTCCAGTGCTCTTGTCCCACTGTCAGCAGCTCTTTAACTCCATCATCCATCGCTTTGGTGAACCTACCCACTGCATCACATTTCTGTTCTCTGTGGCATTTGGAAAAAGGAAAACCAAAAAGCAGTTTGACAGATGCATTATGCTAACTTCAAATGCAGTACTGATATGTTTAGTAGTGTCACCTAGGTCTTTAAAAAAAAATTCAGAGAAATTAATTAATTCCTTGAAATCTCTGCCATTTCACTGGGGTCAGAACTCCCCTCTTCAGATACAGACATTTTTCACTCTATTATTCCCCCTCTGTTAAACATGTGGTACTGGACTGTCATTCTTACTGTGGTTCTGTTTTTAGGTAACTAACAAAACAAACCCCAAAAAAAACCAACCAAAAAACAGGAAAAGGCTACTAGCTAAATATCTTCTCCTGTAAAGTTAAATAATAACAGAAGAGCAAAATCTGATTTGAGGAAAATGCATCCCTAGGGCACTCAACACAAATAGAAGGACCCCACATTGACAGAAAACTAGATGTTAGAGAAGCAGCAAAATTCATACAACAATGAACAAATATAAAGGAAATACCTGTTTCAGGTATCTTAATAAAAGTCTAAAATAGGTGAATAAAAATTAATATCGCAGTTTTTCTATGGGAATATATATGCATAACTTTATATTATATTGACAATACCACTGTGTTCAGTCGTGTTAGATAGGAAAAAAAAGTAAATCAGTGATGCTCCAAAGAGAATTCTGAATTAGTATGTGCCTTTTTTACCCCTCTTTAAGGCATGTTTTCATACAGCTATCAAAGCTTTCCATTAACGTAGCACTGCATACAGAGTATTGCTTTGTGAACTCTACAAAAGAAAACTAGACATATATTTTCTAATTTTCAATGAGAATTATTCAAACTGCATCACATCTTCCAAATGCTTTCAGCCAAAGCCTGTATAAGACAGCTCTCACAGCAAGGCAACTTGAAACAACTCCCCAGAGCCAAGGCAGCAGCTCCATCTGTGGCCCAACCACCCAGAGGGTCCCACTTCCCCACCAGCACCTCCTTCCTCATCAGCTGGAAACCCTACCTGAAGAGTAACTTGCACAGAAATAGAACCTGGGCTTTCCAACAGGTCCTTGCTTTACTCCAATTTTCTCAGTAGCAAACTGTAGCAGCCTTTTTAATTTTCTGAACTTCATACTTTACAGTATCATGATCACTTAAAGAGTTCATGAACCAGCACAGGGTCCTTCAATCAAAACCAGGATGACACAAGACTGCCAGAGTACTAGCAAAATTGTTTCAGTAAGGAGCATCTTTTCATTGAAGAACTTAAGAGCTATTGAACAACCTGGTTTGTCCACTTATAGGAGTGATGTCTTTCAAGACTATGTTCATATATATTTTTTTAACAACACCCCAAGACAGGTACTGGAACATGGTGTGGATGTTGGAGATGTTACAGACACCCCTGCAATGCTTGGAGATAGGTCCCCAGCCCAGGAGCCAATACCCTCTAGGAAGCGTTCTCTGTAGGCTGCTTGCCTGCTCTCAGCCTGTTTGGGGACAAACTGTTCAGCAGACCATCTGTTGGTTGCTCCCTGCCAGGGTTCTATATATAATAGAGACTCAGCCTGTCCTGGACCCTATGTACAAAGTCATCCCTCTGGTTCACCCCTTCAGCTTTTATACCACTGGAATTTATATAAAACACATAGGAAAACTAGTCAAGTCTGAAATCCTCAAGTTCAAAGTAGAAATGACCTAAAAATGTCCATATTTTTTTACTAGTACAGAGCTGCTACCACACACCTACTATATACATCTTAATATGCACTGCATCACTTGGAAAAGATATTTCCAAGTACAGGTGCACTGCTTTGCTACTACAAACACTACTCTTTAGTTTATCCACAGGTTCAGAAACAATACGTTATTCAAGTTTCTACATTCTACAACAGCAAGCAGAGCATATAATACACGCTATGTATCTTCTAGGAAAACTGATGAAGCCTAAAGGAATGAACTAAAAGTTGCACAGTAAATTCAGTCTTTCACTCTACAAAACCCAAAGGGGACTGTACATAGAAAAGTGTATGTATATATAACATATCCATTTGCACTTCTAGAAGGATACTCCAAAAATGTAGCAATCCATTTAAAAGGAAATTTTATCATTTAAATAACTTTTCATTTTAACAGCTTTCCATGTATTCCAGATATTAGAATGACACCGTGTGTGCATTATATATAAGTATTTTACAGAAACATTCTTTTCCTTAACCTGCAGTTATCCTAAGCTGCTTGGCAAGCCTAGCACACTTTGGAGCTGTTCACAAGTGAAGATCAAAATATACTCCCATAGCAATACAAAACATAACTCCATGGGATCTGCCACTGCTCTATCTCATCAACCAGTTTTGCATAGATCCTTTTAGGACGAGTATTCAGCCACTGAAGTCAAAGAGACATCACACAGAATTCCACCAAGTTTTAGAGGTGTTGGTATGAAAATCTCATATTTAAGCAATTTTTCAGCTCTACGTTAATGAGTACCTCTTCAAATCCATTAATACATCTGCACACTTACTATTTTAGTTTTATATCAGCTCAATATCTGTTGTATACCTAGACACAATGCCCATGCAAAAAGAAACCACCTTACATTTCTACCATATCCAAGTCAGGAGCTTCTGGTTCCATTGTAGAAAAGATCATGACTCCTACAGTTTCATCTTTTTCTGCCTTCCGCTTTCCAGTTTTCCACTCCTTAGGGAAATAAAAAAAGAGACAAAATTTGACCACCACTGTTCATCCATCTTTAAGAGCACGTACTTAAGCACTGAATGAAATGCCTAGGAGAACAGTTAACCAACAGACCACCCACTCATTAAAAACTTTTAAGTTAAAGTTTCAGAGAGGCCAAGGTTTCTTAAGAGTTTCCCTCCCTTCTCCTTGTGCACTTTGTTTCCTAGATTCTGAGGTAAACCGATCCTTCCTGTATGTTACTGAAACAGTGTAAGAGCAATTATATTCAGCTGTGCCTGCACATGTAATAGTGCTGATAACTGAAGCTATTCCAGCTGATCACGAGACTATTGTGCAATTGCCACACTGAGTTCTTAGTGGGAACACAAAAAGGTTGAAAATTCCACAGGTATTGCAACATCTGTTCTGTTTCTATCTGTCCATAAGTCAGATATTAAGAACTCCTGACTAGCTAGCACAAGTATACAGCTCTCCAGTGGCCATCCAAACAGCAGTTCACGAGGACTGCTACTTACTGTGTTATTGAGCCCTTACTGCTAGGATTACAGAATAATTGGTTGGAAGTGACCTCAGGAGGTTTGTAGTCCAGCCTCCTACTCAGAAAGGGTCAGCTGTGACTTTAGTTTCTCAGGGCTTTACCCAGTCTGGTCTTAAAAACATCTAATAATCAAGTGAGTTTTGAGGAAAGTCTGCGTATTTAGAAGTATGACTATTTTGAAGAGAAAGCAGCAGAGTTTTCCTGTTTGCTTCCTCATTGGCAGATACCCGAATTAGTAATAGAGCCGGAGCTCAGTCATGAAGAAACCATTATTTACTGAAGGTAAAGATACTAAAACCTCTTAAGAAAAGCATAAGAAAATACCAGAGAAGTGGTTTGGAGAATAAAAAGGGGCTAGTTATACCCGGTAAGGCCGCAGCATAATGCTATTGCAACCCATTCCAGTGAAAACTGTTGGGAGTAGGGGTAGGGTTTTTAAATGCAATGCAGTCGCAGACACCTCCTAGATCTACAAAGCAGCTTCTGTTCGCAAAGCAGTACCAATCTGGAACTTAAACAGAAACAGGGCAGGGCAACAGCCAAAAGAGTGGTTATACAAGTTCCTACTCTGCTTGGAGGACACAAAGCATCCTTAAAACATTGGCAGCAAAGCTACTTAAAGAGCACATCCATACAACATTTCACATGAGCAACTTTATGCCTCATTTTGATTGCTCAGCTAAATTAGTAAACCCAGCAGTGTTCAGCTCCTCACTACTGCCCACAGGGGGGCAGACAAATGAGAAGGTTGCAAAGCTGCACTCCTTGTTGTAAGTGGTGGGGGTGGGAAGGGGG